GACAGACGAAGACGAGAGTTATGCGAATAGTGATACGACAGACAATGATAATGTGAGGAGAACGACCAGCGTTTGGCACCTAATAACGACGTTTATAGGGTACCTTTTACCGCGACGTCTCCTTCCTAAACGGTCTGTGATCTTTTCTTCACAACAATACCCGAGGCGCCTGGCCTAATCGTTAGGGAGCATGGCCATGAAAGACCACTGAAAGACTGAAAGCTCATCAAAAACAAAGTTTTCTGGAGGGCAACCCATCAGAATCAAAGCAGGATTTCACGATGAAAAGGCAGCCCATTGGAAATTAAGTTTCAGATGGTCAGTGATGCACAAAAGAAGAAAAAACGAAGAAAAACTAACAAGAAAAACGGCATAGAACCAAAGTAATAGGACTTCTCCTTCCCTGCTGATTTCCGCTTGATTGCGACTCTCATCGGTGTTGCCCACTTCAACGCCGATGTTCTCTCCAATCGGTTAGAGACCAGCGGCGAGTGATTAGCCAGTTGGTGGGTGTGCGAGCGGCGCTGGGATGGTAATGCTATGTAGACTGCCGCAGGCATATCCTTCGCTGCGAATTGCTTGTCGGTCCACACCACTGGGGGACCTAACTGTCTCTCCACCAAGTAACTTTCCCCATCTTCGACCTTCAAGGCTCATCGAATTCTTTGAAGGCAGCGATTACGATAAGACCTGGAGGAGTTTATAAGGAACGCAGGGGTGCACATTGATCCGCCATAGCGAAAAAGCAGAGAAGTTGTTGAGAAAACGTAAAAGGAGTACCTCCGACCCCTTGTTTCCCCGTTGATCTCCGCTTCAGGACGGGCAGCGGCCTAAGGCGGCGGCGTATGGACGAGTTTATCGCAGCGCGTTTAGTGGCCTCAGCCAAACTTGCTCCTGTTGTGTGTCCAAATCACCAACTAGACTAGCGGGTGGATCACTTACGGAGTGATGGGGAGAGGGGTCATTCTCAAGTACTGCTCTGCAGCCATTGCGTGTAATGCGTGTCCTTTTGTCGTGAAAGCGCTGCACTCGCTTCCTTGGCAGCCAAGATACCGTTTCGTGTGGCGCATACACTTCCCCGATGTGCTCTCTCACTTTCTTCGAGTGTGCTCTACTCTGATACTCCTGGCAAACTATCAATTCAGTCCTTAAAATCTTTACCTGTTACCCATTACTATCCTACCTCTACCTGTTACTTTTGGCACGAGGCTGAAGGTGAAAACTGTGATGAATCCTTCCATTCAGCTTTCCCCTTGCTCTTTTGTGATGGGAATTGGGTCTCATTCAACTTAGGAGTTGAAAATTCCTTCACTATTAAAAAGTGGTAATTTTCAGCTTTTCGACCTTTTTGACGGCGAAAGCCTACCATGGAAGAGAGCAGCTGATAAAAACAAGGTAAGCCGTTTCGTCACCTGAGCACAGGATGAAAAGCTTTAGACTTTTCCTAACTCTGCTTTACCATAGTTGCTGCCGGCACTGTAAGAGCTGTGTTTAAGGTCAAAATTCGCGCTAAGACCAACCTAATGAGCCATTGGAGTGGCTAGAAGTGTTGAATACCCTTCTCCGGCGTCCGTACCACCTTCCTTGATCGAAATGCGTCCCGAAAACGCTAAACGCCAAGGAATTATAACAGACTCCGCCAAAGATAGCAGGATCCGCCCACCGCCGCCGTGACGGAAGCGAAACCGCGGGCTTCGTCCACATTGTTGCTTGGGCGAGTCGTAGGATCCTAATTCCAATCATGATCTGATTTTTTTATGCATATACTTGATTTTTCGGGGGCGTCCTCGATTTGGTGACCGGATTGAGCGTGCGCTAGTGCCAGCAACGCGGGAAACTCGTACGCGACGTTATCCTTCCGCCTGGCCTTTTGAAATCCACTGAAGAGGATGGTGGTCCTATTCTGGGCTTACTACACTGTTTTTCCTGCTCTCTTTTTGCATGACTATTCAACTGCCACTCAATAGTTCATAGGTGGTCAGAAAACTCTCAAGTTCAATCACAAGTTTTGCCTTAGGATCGACCTTTTTGACGGCGAAAGCCTACCATGGAAGAGAGCAGCTGATAAAAACAAGGTAAGCCGTTTCGTCACCTGAGCACAGGATGAAAAGCTTTAGACTTTTCCGTAACTCTGCTTTACCATAGTTGCTGCCGGCACTGTAAGAGCTGTGTTTAAGGTCATAACAATGAAGGAAAAATTCATAAAACTACAGTATCCGAAGAGCTTCAAAGTGGTGCCCGGTGAAGTGCGGCGAATAATTCAGTATATTGATGGGATGGATTACGCTGATGAGCCTGATTACCTTTATATTCAAAATGCCCTGAGGTAATCTATACTGCTTGCACCAATAAATTGACAGCCACATAACCTATGGATAAAAACGCAAAACTTCAACACGCGCGAACACTTATAACCTAATTTCAGACCCCTTCTTGAAAAAGCGCTAAACTCTTCAGGATCAGGGTCGTTAGGGATTTTCAGCCAAATTCCCCAAGCACGAACAAACCAATTTAATTGATTTGTTCTATGTATCAAGACACTCGTGTATATATTGGCTTCCCTAACTGGAGACATCAGAAGAATTTGCCAAAAGAAAATGGTGAAATCATTGAAAATCTGTCTACCAGTAATTCGACACAAAAAATTTATGCAGCACGTTCGGGATGGAGCAATCACGCTCGACGGCGACGGCGAAAGAAGCCATCTCCTGGATACGGTGACGGCAGTGAAGGAGCCTGCCTCTGCTCATGCGGGAGGGGAGACTTACCTCCTACTTCTCTTACTTTGCTATTCGTCCCACGCCAGAAACACAGGTCGTGCATCTCCCAGGCCGCTCTGCTTCGGGTCGGGGGTCTGCCTCTGGGCCTTGTTTTTCCCCTTGGGTACCAGTCAGTCACTCTCTTCGTCCAGCGATCATCGGTAAGTCTAGCCACATGACCGGCCCACCTCCGCTTGGAATTATAGGCATCGACGACGTCCTTCACCATCGTACGAGCGCGGATGGTGTCATTGGGTATGCGGTCTCGGAGCGTTACCACCGCACATGGCCCTCTCCATGGCTCGCTGAGTGACTGCGAGTTTCTCAGAGACTGTGGTGCTCCACGTCTCCGCCCCGTACGTCATAGCGGGAAGAACATGCGAGTTGAAGACGTGAGCTTTGACTTTGGGGTCTACGTGTTTAGAAGTTAGTACATCTCGGAGCTTATTGAAAGCGGATCAACCTGGTAGGAGGGACATCTAAGGAACTCTTTGGCGAGAAACTCCCATCAACGGCAGCACTCTGCGCGAAAAAAGACTGCTGACGTGCGACATGTGCATAGTGACTTTTTCTACCCACGTAGAATTCCATATGACAGAAGAATTCTTCCTGGAGCAAGCTGCACTTACCAGCGACTTGCACTGACTGTATTTCGTTTGCAATCCTGAATTTATTAAGAGCTATCGCTAAAGAGAGGAAAATTGATCTGACGAAACAGTTGGACTGGGTAGGAAGGAAGAGGGTGAAGAGCGCAGAACCAGATGACGTACGTTTACGGCTGTCATTTCGAACGAAAGAAAAGCGTGGTTCTTCATTTGCAGGAGAGCACTACGTCATCAGATATGAGGAAGACTGGTGAGGAGGGTGAAGAGGGAAGCCTCGACTCCAATGACAAACTCAGGAAGAAGAAGTAGCTACACTGAAATTCCTTACTCTTTCTCTTGAGCAAATGAATTTTGTCCTATTCAGGTCAGCGGTAAACCTGCTCAAGAAGTAAACCGCATAAGAAATCAGGACAATCGCTGCTCGAACTGGATGTCACCCTCTAACTTTCATTTCTACTTACATACTAAAAAGAGTAATAGACGATAGTATGGTAATTTATACTGTATACTGTAACAACGAATAAATAATTAGTAATGTCAAATTACCCACACAAAAAGGATAAAGGGCAATGCTCCCAGCGCTGATCAGTCTCTTTTGAAATGCGCCATGATTTTTGCCCCCACGGAAT